ATTTATTTTTGTAATAATTTGAATTATTTGAGATTGAGCCTTATGTCCTCTTGATCAAATATACTAAATATGTCATCTAAATGTTTAATGTGTTCTTTGTAAGTTTTGGAGTGTATAATAATGTCATCAAAATAATTTAAGGCATAGTGTATGTTATGTTTAGTAAACACTGACTTCATAATCCTTTCAAATTGTGAAGGTGCATTTTTTAGACCATATGGAAGTATATTATATTCATAACAACCTAATTGTGTTACAAAGGAGGTTTTATGTCTATCTTTTCCATCTATGGGTATATGCCAGTATGCATTTTTACATTTAGAATTGTATATATTTTTGACTGTGATAACCTATCTATAATTTGTTCTAAAGTGGAATTGGGGTATGTTCTAGAACTGTTTTTTGATTAAGTTTTCTATAATCTATACAGAGTCTTGTGGGGTGATTTGGGGCATCAGTTCTTTCATTCACTAATAATGTAGGAGAACTATAGGGATTAGATGAGGGCCTAATAATATCGTATATTAATAATTCAGTTATTAGTTTTTGTAAAATACAATATAACGCGGCTGATGATTGTAAAACGAAAATTAAAATTATACCGCGAATGTTTCTTTTTTTTTAAATCGAAATTTATTTTCAAAGAGAAATAGCGACATTTCTAACTTTGAGGATGAGGTATGGAAAGGTGAAACATGAAGAGTAATGGAGAACGGAAAAATAAAAAGTGTCCAGGGGCGGGAATCGAAGCCACACCCAGCCGAGTGGACAAGGCACCTGCCCGGTAAGCAGAAGGGTGTGGGTTCTATTGCCAATCTGAGGGTTCTTGTATTCTTGCAACTATTAAGTATTTCAAAGGTGCTTTGGCATTCCATCTGTTAGCGCTTCTAATAAAGTGTTTTTTCTAGATTGAGTTTGTTGGCTAAAGCAGATTTTTTCTTAAAATATTGTTCAAGATTATCTTTATCATTATATTTTAAAAATTTAGAAATCTACTGAATAAATTCGAATCCTTAATTGTGAAATATGATGTTAATTTTGTTCTATTTCCCCCCAATTATATAAATCTTTCAATTCTTCTATATAAAAACTGAATGCTTCTCCCTCGAGATAATTTGATATATTATTTAGTTTAAAATCTTCATCAAGAGGTTTCTGCAGACGTTTCTTTTAAGAATTTGAGCCAAGATATTATGTCTAAATTTTGACCATTAAATTTAGGTATTTCTATAGTACTTGGCTTAGGCGTCATGGCATGTTCTACATTTCTTTGTTTGCGGGACATTTTGTGAAAATTGTTTTATAAAATTTAATTAATAATTTATAGAGCCATTGGGTTGAAATTAAGGTAATCCTGTCGGCTCATTGTTATGAATATTTTGTTGTTGTTGTTAGAAAAGGGTTGGTAAGACAAAGAATCGATAAGATAAAGGGTTGATGTGCAGTTTTGATAAAAAAAAATAATTATTCACCTTCAAGTAAATTTTATTTTTAATTACTTGAGGAAATATTAAACATTAGTTATTTTCACATTATATAGAATTTATAAAGTTAATCCTATATTAGTGATTTAAAAGGATAGATAGTTTAACTAAGCATATTTACAACAAAACTGAAAGTCTTTCTAAAAACGATGATAACCAAAAGTAAAAATATCAATGAATAAAAATAAAATATATATATTTTTAAAATATAGAAATATTTGAGTTTTTAGATTATATAATAAAATATATATATATTAAAAAAGGCATCTCCTTATGGTGCAAATGAAAGTTGCTGATGGCTTGCGCCATCTATCGGAATAAATATCAACTATTCTCGTTGATTTTTAATTATTCCAGAATTGGCCAAATACCCATTCTTGATTAATCAAGAAAAGCTAACCACGGACTCGTTTCGCGCTGTTGGCCCTCATCAGCGTGGTGCAAGCAGTACCTCAACGACAAAAATATTGGTCATTAAGGCATCCTGAAAAATCCTGAAATGGGTAGTTAAGGCCAGAATTGCGTGAGACCGCAACACAATGATTTTTCAGGATGCCCTGATGACCAATATTTGGTCGTTGAGGTATAGCTTGCACCACGCTGATGAGGGCCACATACACATTATTACATAAATACCTACAAGTTACATAAATAATTAAAACCTTTTTGATACCCAAATAAAATATATAATGATTTGTTTTAAACATCATTAATTTACAACTATCTTCCATATAAATTATATTTGATTATACTATATATATGTGATGAGGTCCTATTGACTCTTGTAGAATACTGTCGATTAAAACTGTGGTGAGGTATCCAGTTGACTTAAACTATGGTGTGAGTCCCTGTCGACTCTCGCTATACTGTGTTGACCGAGAGGAACAGTCAGGATGTGGAATTTTCCAGTACCTCTCTGCACCTTGGGAGACCTTTAACAGTTCTCACAGAGTACAGGCAGTCGTGGTCGAGGCAGAGTGGAAAGCTTGGGAATATCCACACAAAAAACGAAGACACAGTTGCACTAAAAAAGTTCCGTGAACAGATAAAAGTTGAGCTAGGAGCGAAAGATGGAGAGATAGAAGAGTTCTCACTGGTCTACATGGTGGATGAGGAGGACCTTGGTGACAACCGACCAGGGTTTCCGCTGATGGTGAAGAGACTGTCAAGTGACTATATTTTTGGCTAGGACGGAGGCTTTATATATCTTTTCCGAGAAAGGAGGTATTTCATTTAAGCCGATGTGAAAAGCGTGGATCGTCTGGCGAAATTATTCACTAGAGCCGTCCTTACAGTTTCCTATCTATCTTTAGACTCTGTTGTGGGAATTCTAAATCTATCTCGATTTTAGACGTTTTTGACCTTTTGCTTTAGCTCAACTCTTAATCTATTACATAGTTTTATTTATTTATCCTCCGTTTGTACAAAGTACATTACATATGATAATGTAATGACACATGTCAATAATGCGTATAATCATTTATAGATGTATTTCTATTATACAACATGAAAATCTTGTTATAGGTTATATACAACATGGGGTTGTTGGTTTAAATTACCATATATATATATATATATGAAAAACCAATAGAAAAAATAAAAGAAAAGTGGGTCAGGTGTTGATATTAAAAATAAAGAAGGCAACTCCTGACCACGAGCACATGTGCTTTTTAGATGGCAGAGCGCCATCTAGTGGAGCAAAAATAAACTAAACGTTTATTTATCTAGCTTCGTGATATTTGGCCAACCCAATTTCTTGATAAATCAAGAAAAGCCATCCAGAACGCGTTTCGCGCTGTTCGCGCTTGTCAGCGTGGAGAAGGCTGTAACCACTGCGACCAAAAAGATTTTTGGCCCAATGGCTTCCCGAAAAATCAAGAAATGGGTATTTAAGGCCAAATTTGCGTAAAGACGCTTAACACATGAATAAACAATAGAAAAATAAAAGATAAGTGGGTCAGGTGTTGATATTAAAAATAAAGACGGCATCTCCTGAACACGAGCACATGTGCTTTTAAGATGGCAGAGCGCCATCTAGTGGAGCAAAAATAAATTAAACGTTTATTTAGCTTGCTCCGTGATATTTGGCCGACCCAATTCCTTGATAAATCAAGAAAAGCCATCCACGAAAGCGTTTCGCGCTGTTGGCGCTCGTCAGCGTGGAGAAGGCTATAACCACTGCGACCAAAAATATTTTTGGTCCCAATGGCTTCCCGAAAAATCAAGAAATGGGTATTTAAGGCCAAATTTGGTATTTTTGGTCGCAGTGGTTACAGCCTTCTACACGCTGACGAGCGCCAACAGCGCGAAACGCGTTCGTGGATGGCTTTTCTTGATTTATCAAGAAATTGGGTTGGCCAAATATCACGGAGCAAGCTAAATAAACGTTTAGTTTATATTTGCTCCACTAGATGGCGCTCTGCCATCTGAAAAGCACATGTGCTCGTGTTCAGGAGATGCCTTCTTTATTTTTAATATATATATGGAAGTCTCTAGGTGAACGCTTATCAGTTTGCCAAAGTTGGTGTTGTGGCTTTGTCACCGACCCGATGCCGCTAGTTGCGTCGACGGTCATTAGATGGCGTCAGATTCTGACGTTTATTTTGACGGGAGAGGCGACCATTGCTTCCATGGATGGATAGAAATTATTTCCTCCCGGCAAATTTTCCATCTATGTTTTGCCAATAGATTTGGCCCAGCCACATTGCCAGCAAAGCACCTCTTTGGTAGATTGTGAGGATTCCATTAGATCCCGTGTGGAACTCACGGAATGAAGTCCGCCCTAGACTGACGAGGGCCATTAGCCCGAAACCATGGTCTCTAGGTGGACGCTTATCAGTTTGCCAAAGTTGGTGTTGTGGCTTTGTCACCGACCCGATGCCGCTAGTTGCGTCGATGGTCAATAGATGGCGTCAGATTCTGACGTTTATTTTGACGGGAGAAGCGACCATTGCTTACATGGATTAATTTCCTCCCGGCAAATTTCCATCTATATATATAAATATGTGGTAACCGAGGGTCAAACCAGTAGTAACCGAGAGGGACAGTCAGGGCGTGGAGAGTTTTCCAGTACCTCTCTGCACCTTGGAGGACCTTTAACTGTTCTCACAGAGTACAGGCAGTCGTGGTCGAGGCAGAGTGGAAAGCTTGGGAATGTCCACACACAAAAAAAACGAAGAGACACAGTTGTAGTAGGAAAGTGTCGTGAACAGATAGGAGTCGAGCTAAGAGCAAGATGGAGATAGATTTCTTACTTTTTACATAGTCGATGAGGTGGACCTGGCTACAACCGACAAGGGCTAACGCCGATGGTGAAGTGACTCTAAGTTCGGCTGAAACCGCGGTTTTATATACCTTTGCCGAGGAGGGAGAGATGCGAAGAGGAGGACTTTGAACAAGTCCAAAGGGCGTGGGGCGTCTGCGCTATTCTGCACCCTTTGACCTTGATGGCAACGACTTGCCAAATTCCTCTTTAGGGTTGTTGGATTTCTATCTCGATCTCTTTCTTAGCTCAGCTCTTAATCTATTACATAGTTTTATTTATTCATCCTCAGTTTTTACAAAGTACATTACATATGGTGATGCAATGACACATGTCAATCATGTGTATAATTATTTATAGATGTGTTTCTATATAGAACATGACAATATTGTTATAAGTTATATACAATATGGGGTTGTTGGTTTAAATTACCATAGATGGGCCCCAGGAGTGAAAGGGTTTATCCGGGTTTAAACGGGTAAAGCCTCTCTAACACAGGTGAGTAATTAAAATTTATTTTAATTCATTTAAACTATGAGGGTTAAAAAGGGCTATAACAAGATGTTTGTTTGTATATATCTGAAAATTATAAAAAATAAAACTTATGTTCAATTTAAAAGTTATGATAAATATTATAAGAGAAAAATTTGGATAAAACCTTTCTTCGGTAAAAAAATAATAATGATGATAAATATAAAATGATGTTCTAAAAGATTGTTGACGGGCGTTGGAAATGGTTAGGGGTTAAAGAATAGGCGATTGTTAGTATTACACAGGCAACCAAATACTTAGATCCAGGTGCAAAGCGAGGACATAGACTTGAGCGTCTTCCTAGGCAATGTTTCACTAGTGATCCTGTATAAGGTTACAGTGCTTTGTCACAATTGTAGGGTTATTGGGTTGAAAAGTTGTTGAAGAAAAAGTTGTTCATTAATATGATTGAAAGGGGTGAAATGGAGTCATGCGATAAGTAGAATTGTTGTATCGACAGTAGGTGAACTGTCTTGACTTAAAATCAAAGGTTGATTAGGGCCCGCTAGAGCTAAAAAAGAATGAGAATTGTGAACGCTTTGTGCAT